ATATAATATAATATAATATATATATATACATATATATATATATGTATGCATATATATATGTATTGAAACATATATATGCATGGTTTAACCGGGAGTACCAATATCCATGCAAAAAAAAAAAGGTCAGCTCGATCTTTAGTCCCGGTTGGTAACACCAACCGGGACTAAAGATGGCTCAGCCGGCCACTGGTTGATCTTTACTCCCGGTTATTTCACCCGGGACTAAAGATAGCGATCTTTAGTCCCGGATTGGTACTCCCGGTTTAGAAACCGGGACTAAAGAGGGATTACGAACTGGGACTACACAGGGTTTCTCCGCCAGTGATTGTCGCCAATTATTTGATCTCTCGAGATCAACCAAGCTTCGACGTGTTGTCGCGGCGGAGGACCATGGTGTCGGCGTGATCTAACATTAATCCCTCGACGTGTGGGACATCAACTGGTGCGAGGTATTGGTCGGCTGAGTCCAAGTCGAACCCGACACCGATCCCTACCAACCAAGCAAGCACGACGAGGAGCCAAAAATCTACTGCTGGATTAGTACTACCGTGTTCTAACTAGGACAAGATTTCTAGCCACGATCTACTGGTCGACAGCCTGACGTCACTCTGCATGTCCCTGTACCGAGCCAACACCCATGTGCGCACGTGCATGTATATTGGCCGTACAGAGCTCTTATATGTGTTTTCATGACACATACTCCATGTTTCCCAAGGTAATTAGTAAGATTAATTTTTAAATTAATCTACTAATTCCGTAAATATATCCGGCATATATCTACACAGGTACACAATATTTTATATGCAATTTATCGTATCTATTCAGATCATACAACATTCTCAGATCAATAATTTATTATGTCTACCTAGAGCATATTTTTTATACAATATCTATTATACGAGTGTTTCCGACATTAGCTGACTACGGTTTAATATTGGGGGCTCGTTTTATTTTCCTATGTATAAATCATGCTTGTTTACGGTCTACATAATACCTGATATTTACATCTGCTCGTTATATCCTGATAATACTAGAAGATCCATGCAGTTTTTCGAATACATACTCGATATTCTCTGCTATATGTCTTGCCTTCTAGAAAATATTTTTTAGGAACAATTGAGGACTCGAGTGGGTTGTGGTCAAGTTACACCGCATTATCGAGAACGATCTCGACAAATGCAGAGTCGTCGCGCCCAACCTACCAACGAAGACCGGCGACCTATCTCATAGCACCGGCCATGGCTGGACTACTCGATAAAAGGTTGTTAACGGATAATTCCTTGTGAACGTCGTCTGCTTGATCACCCGACATGATTGCGAACGGACACCCGGATATGCTATAAGTTGGGTATGTGAGTCATGCTGGCCACATGAGATACACATGTAATAAACCAACTCTAGCACTTTCATTCGTGTTCGAGAGATGATTCTACTCGCTCGCTGGTTCTCGAACCAGTACGTAGCAATCTCCTACACCACAACCTCCATTGGTGTTCGAGAGATGATTCTACTCGCTCGCTGGTTCTCGAACCAGTACGTAGCAATCTGGTTCTTGAACCAGTACGTAGCAATCTCCCGCACCGCAACCTCCATTGGTGTTCGAGAGATGATTCTACTTGCTCGCTGGTTCTCGAACCAGTACGTAGCAATCTCCCGCACCGCAACCTCCATTGGTGTTTGAGAGATGATTCTACTCGCTCGCTGGTCCTCGAACCAGTGCGTAGCAATCTCTCGTACCGCAACCTCCATTGGTGTCCGAGAGATAATTCTACACGTTCGCTGGTCCTCAAACCAGTGCGTAGTAATCTCTCGCACCGCAACCTCAGATGGTCGAGGTACGACTACAGCAATAACGCAGCGGTCCTCGCACCACGACTTCAAATGATCGAGAGACACCTACTCACTGGTTCTCAACCAGTCAATCGTAGTGATCTCTCGTACATTTACTTCTAGTGATTGAGTTACGACTACTACCCGGTTCTTGACCAGAGGTGTAGCGATTCTCCCATTACCTCTACTTCAACAAGTGTTTTACCCAGTGATCCCTCACCATAAAAGACACCTAGCATTGAAACCTATCCTAATGTCCCTTTACGCCGTCTTGACAATGCCTCTGAGGAACCTAAGGGAACTTCGGCTGGGGACGCCCAGAGCGGATAAGGCTTTGTCGGATCCTTCAGAGACGAAAGACCATGTAAGATCTGGTCGTGTAAGAGTTCTCGCCGTGCGTATTAACCAAGCCGTGTAATCGGAAATTGATTTTCCAACCTCACGGCTAGGGGCTAGGATCAGTGCTTGTTCAACCAAGGCAGGTCAAAGGTCCAAGAGCCTTATCATCTGAGAACGATTCTCCGACGACAAGGCTGGGGGCTAGGGAGAGTGTATAACTCAACAAACTGACTGATCGAAGTCGGTAAAAGAGTAGACGCTCATATACAAAACATTTGGTCTGTAAGTTTAATTCATCTTCAGTTTTCCATACATATTATAACATGTCACCCTTTGAGCTTTCGCTCAGGGGCTATTTCTATCTAATATTCTTTTCTAAGTATTGATTTCAGGAAAATTCTATTCGACATTATCGAAGACCGCATGTCTCTATGGTTCTACACCAAGATCGACTAAGGCGAGTACGACAAATGTTGACAAGGCTCCGTCGCAGATTCTGCGCTTTCTCGATCACTCGAGAACGGTTGGTGGATCTCGACAAGGAATACGGAATGAAGAAATGGTGTACCCGCCGAGATAAAATTTCTTGACTTCAATCCAAATTCTCGATTACAGCAAGACGGGAGATTTAGTCGTATGCTCTGTACTTTCTTGGTTGACGTCGGAGATGGACTCAGACATACCCTTTAGGTGCCCGCACGAGGCTGATAAAGGAAGTCTAACGTTATCTCTGAACTCACCGAGAACGTTCACGTGAGCTCGATAACAGCTACTCCAGGGTCTGCGGTTGAGAATATGAGTTCGTTCATTTGCATTGATGTCGGGGGCTACTGTCAGGGTTATGGATACCACATACCTAATAGTAGTCAACTAAATCTCGGCAGGACCCACCACATACCATGTCCTATACGGAAACAACCTGCGGATATAGGAGGAGTTCCGGATAAGGAAAGACAACCAGAGTTCTACATGGAAAGGACAAGGACTACTTGGATTGTATCCATATTGGTTTTCCTAGTTCTACTTGGACATGGGGACACCTATGGGTATAAATACAAGGCCCCCTAGGAGGAGAGGGGGGACAATGAACATAGACGGACACGTCCACCTCAATCAACACCCACCATAGAAGACAGAAGATCAACATACAAGCCAACATACGCCACGACAAGATGCCGGATATCGACTTAAGGGAGAAGCACAACTAGTCCCCTACAGTGTCTCCGGATACTGTCAGGAGAGACGAAAACGTTATCTCTGATCTCACCGGGCACGGATTCGAGGAGGAAGACTACCCTGTTGTCGACTACGAGTCAGAACTACAGACCGCCATATCGACAACAGTTAGATAGGCTACCCCAAATATTATACTAGTGTGATTATGGTGAATAAGAGTAATACCGGCTTCGGCCAACAGGATGTATGGTTATTACCTGACAACTCAGGGGCCCGAACCTGTATAAAAATCCTCTTCTCCGTCTCTTTTACCTCAGCCTCGTGTATACCCTAGTACCAACGATCCCCATAGTATGCAAATACCGGAATCGCGACATCAAACGTCGACAGAATGATCCACAGCACTCCAAATGCTGGGTACTGTAGCAAACCTTTGAATTTTCTCCTCCACAACAGAGAGGATCCGAATTGAAAAACTTCAGCATTTTAAATTTATATTAGCATCTTCTCATCTAGTAGGCTTTAATTTATGTAGTAACTAGAAAGAATTCCGTGCGTTGTAACGGGTGAAGAATGTTTTAATCGTATTATTATTATATATATTTTTTTAAAAAAAGTATATGGGAATTTTATTTTGAGATGATATCCAATTCCAAACCCTTGTACTTTTAAAAGCGAATGAATTTAAAAATTAACTCAAATCCGGATGACATCCCAAAACCATCGACGGAAACAACTTCAGTTTTTAGTAATATATAAATCACCTAATCCTAAATAGCCCAACAAAATCATATGTTAAAAAATGATGTTAAAAAGAATTATATGTAGATGAATCCTTCACAAAATAAATGAACATGCATCCAAGCTGCCCATACAAAATTCAGTATGTTTTGCATTTGCATGTTACAAAATTAATGAAATAAACACAAATAAATCTGAAATAATTCAGAAGATAGGCTATATTTTACACTGAGGCCCCCTTTGAATTGGAGGAAAAATGGAGGAAAAACAAAGGAATTGAAATCCTACACTATTCATGCCTTTGATTCGTAGGAATGAGAAAAAGAAAAACGTAGGAAACTTTCCTATTCCTACAATTCTAGAGCAAAAACGTAGGAAATTTAACATCCACTCTAACCTCTTGGAAAACTTTCCCAGAGTCTATCTCTCTCATCCAATTCCTGCATTTTTCCTGTGGTCTAATCAAACGGTCATTCCTATATTTTTCCTGTGTTTTGCAATCCTCTGTTTTTACACTTGCATTCCTACCAAAATCCTGTGTTTTTCCAATTCCTCCGTTTTTTCAATCCTACGATTCAAAGGGGCCCTGAGACAGCCCAAAATAGAGAGACAGCTTGTGATAGACGTTGGGCCCTTTTACACTTTTAGGTCTATATGTGTAGAAAACGTATTGGAGGTGGAGAAAAAAAAGGAAATATCGTCAAAACGCTAAACACATATATGACAAGACGGTTTGCTGGAACGAAGAGACGACGGACAAAAATACGATGAGTACGGAATCATTTTTAATTTTTTAATAGGTAAAGATATAATCTAAAAAACGAACCGGAAGCCAGTAGCCAGAAATGAAGATCCAGCTTTTCCAAATTCTTTTCAACTGACTACTCATCAACCGTCTGAAAATCTTAAGCTCATCCAAAAGATAACATAGATAAATACACCGGTGCCGTGCGTGCGTGCCATCATCTTCTCCGTCATTACTTAATACGGATATTTGGAGCAAACTTGTTTGGAAAAACAAAAAAAAGCAAACTGTTTGACATACGTAGCACCAAATTGAACCATTGTAATCGATAAGTGAAAACATACATGACAAATTTATTCAGCATAAAAGTTCAATTCGCATGTCTTAAAATAAAATTTTGCCGCAGATATTCTGAAGTGCAACCAACGACAAAAGAAGCTTAAGCACCCAAACTGTTATGCTCAGCTGTTATTTACAGCAGTTGGCATGTAGTCGATTATGAGTGTCTTCTCCATTGCAAGCAAGATTTCCTTTGCAAATTCAAGATGTGCTGGGTGTTCAATGTACTCCTTGACTCCTTCTGTGCTTTCAAAAGTGCACTCGAATACGTGTGTGAATCCATGGTGCATGTTCTCTATGCTCACGTCAGTTCCCCTGCAAATTAAACCGCACATTTAGAAACTGATGGTTTGAGAAATAGATCATCAATGTAGCTAAATTTGCACCAGGGAAAATGAATTCACAAATGTCACACATTTGGGATATCGGAACTTTAGGAGAAAATCTACTCTATGCCACCGAGATTGCATTGGTTCAACAATTCACCATTGACATTTTCATTTTATAAATCACTGAGTTTATCAATGTTTTTTTTTAAAAAAAATGCCCAAAATGCCCTTAGAGACATATGACAATTGATTTATCACATTAAAAATAAGTAATTACAAAATATTATGTATAGCCTCGTTTCACAACATAGAAGTTTTAAAATTTTTGCATTGCTATTTTTTTTATAAAATATTTTATATGTTACATGCTACACATAATATTTTTTGTGTTGTTGTTTTTAATGTAAATAAATCATCTGCTAATATGTCGTGCAAGGAAACCATAGCCGGTCAATCAATTGTTCACTATATGTACGGGAACGTATGTTTGGGCATTTTTGACAAATAAATGGTCTAATGGTATATTGTAGAAGAAATTGATGAATTCCGTAGTAAAGCGGTATATCATGGGAAGGGAGAAAGTCTATGGTAAATTATTGAACTAGTGCAAACTCGAAAACAAGGAGGAGATTCTCTCTTAGTTCTTTATCCAACAAGGGAAATCTATCTATTATCTATCTATTATATACTAAAAGTCCATTAAACTTCTTACAAACGCTCTCAAGCCACCACGTGAGACTCCTACAAACGCTTCTAAGCTGCCATGTGGCACTCTAATAAATCGGTAGGCCCACTTTTCATCTATTAGATTTCCTTTTAGAAGACCCATTATTTTCATCTATGAGATTTATTTTTAGAAAAAAAACATAATCCTCCTCCCTCCTAAAAGTCCATTAAACTTTCTACAAACACTCTAAAGCCGCCATGTGGGACTCCTACAAATGCTCCTAAGCTGCCATATGGCTCTCTAATAAATCGGTAGCCCACTATTTTCATCTATTAGATTTCCTTTTCGAAGACCCACTATTTTCATTTATGAGATTTATTTTTAGAGAAAAAAAACCATAATCCTCCTCCCTCCCCTCTCCCCAACAACCCACCCTCTTCCTATATGGTATGTACGTACATACTTATACCTCCCCCTCCTATCCAATCTCCTCATCTCTTTCTTTCTTTAAAGTTTTTTACAATTAAAAATAATGTTTTTAAATAATTTCCATATAGAGAAATAATCAAAACCTTTATATTGCACATAAGTCTATTTTATCATTCTTCATTATCGTATTCATGGTGCTTGATTAACCATTCAAATACCAATAAAAGCTACTAATTTTTTTAACTCATAAGAAATTAAATATGATAGATATGACAAAAATAAAAACACTTAAATCATGAGTAACATTCCAAAATAATTTCCTCTATTATTTTAAATCATATCCGAACCTTTCGCATGCTATCCCAATAATAAAAGAAATATTGTGTAGAACATAGATAATGTAGATCATATCAACATATATCACTTCACAATCATGCATAATTAGATTAGCTCTATAATATCACACAATAAAATATAATAATTAGTTCTGATTAGCACTAAAAAAATCACCGTTCTAAAATATTGATGTGTTAAAATAATATTATTTTCACAAAATAAAGTAATGTTACTAAAATATTTCATGAAAAATTGACGTCATCATAACTTTAATATTTTAAGCAGTCTACAATATCCCAAACTAGAATACTCTAATTGTGATTATCACTAAAAAATATTATCTCCATTTTAAAATATGAATTATCACAATAATGTAAATCTAGATATGTCCAGATAAATATTTTGATATAATTATATCTTTAGTATTTAAATGACTATAAAAAAATGATTAAATGAACCAGACCAATATGTCTTAATTAAGAGTAATAGGAGGTGCATATGTTGATCTTTTCCTCTTCAATCTTTGGAGTTTAAGCTTAGGTTAATCTGAGTATATAGTGTATAAGGTCCAGTGTACTCGACTCATATATGTCTTGCTTTATGTGTCAATTCTATGTTACACTTAAAATTATATGTATGCACTGCTATCCACCAATCATTAAGGTAAGAATATTATTATATACTAAAAGGCCACTGAACATGATAGAAACGCTTCTAAGCCGTCACGTGACCCATTATTTTTAAACATTAGATTAGATGTGTTAAAATAATTCCTCCATATTAATCCCCCGTGTACGTACCAAAGAAAAGTAAGTACTATTCATCCAAAAAAAACACCTGGAAAAACATACGTACGCACGTATGATTAAAAAATAATACCTCTGTTTCAGGTTATAAGACTTTCTAGCATTGTCCATATTCATATATATATAGATGTTAATGAATCTACGCACACATATATGTCTAAATTTATTAACATATATGTGAATGTGGGCAATACTAGAAAGTCTTATAATATGAAACGGAGGAAGTATTAATCTTTCCGTCCTAATCCTCAAATTTAAAACTATAACTTTATTATGTTTGTACCTACCCATATGATGAGTCCATCGAGCCCTCTATGATTCATTTCACTCTTGATAGTAGAACTCAACTAGCCTACTTACTAATACATTCTTTTTATAAGTGTGTAGACAATAATAGGTGTTAAAATTGTGATCGACGCTAGTCTTGAGGGGCATGGCTACGTCGATGCGGGACCCATATTTCAAGGCATTAGAGAATAAAGCCTTAGCAGCTATGGCCAACTTAACACATTAGATGGGTATTTATATATAATTTTAATGGTTTTTTCTTATTAATTATTAATTGTTAGAAGTGGCACTTAAAAAATATTTATACATTAGACACAAGTGATATATGTGGACTTCGGTATGAAATTGAGATGATTTGTTATTGTATTAATGATATATTACGTTTGTTTTTTCAATTCTATCTAATAAAAAGGCACCCAGCTCTTTCAAGAGAAATAATAAGTATTTGTGATAAAAATTTTATATATAACCAGGACACAACAATTTTTTTTTTAATATGAGAGACATTCTTACAATTTAATTTAGTGTATCAAAGTCTATGGTCAATTTGAGGGTAGAGATAAGATAATCTATGGTTTTTAAATAAAATATGGTAAGATAACATCTTTTTAACATTCTTTTAGTAAAGAATAAATAAATTGACCATGCATCTGCGCGGGCTTCCTCCCTAGTTAGTGTTAATGCTTACACCTGTATGCACTCCCATCTACCATAAAAAGGGTTAAAGAAAAATGGATAAATCCAGATGAGCTTTTCTGTGGTAAGGTGATTGAAAAAAAATCATTTGGTCAAACGGGTCAAGTGTGCACTCTTTTTTCTTTCAAAACGAGATAGTGTGAAGTTTCATATTTATATAGCGGGAAAAATTAAAAGGTTACAACCCTAGCCAGAAAAAAAAAAGAAACACCAACATCACCACCTACTAGCAGCTCCTCACACAACCCAGGTAAAGGAACGGGCACTGAGCCAGCTGCTGCTAAGTGACCGATCGTCGCAAGACCTACAAGGTGGTGGCAACGCCCTCCCAAAACTAACTCCACTTAAGATCGTCGACGCGAGCTCCCTGTCATCCTCACAAAGAGGAGTTGAGGACGAAGATCCACTCATCCCTCTCCTAGCCTACGGCTCACCCAGTGGCGGAGAAAGCGTGGGGGCTGGGGGGTCTTTGGACCCCCTACCCCCTAATGGATCATTAGAGCCCTCATTATACCCCCTAAAATTCTAATTCATATATTTATACTTTGTATTAGAAATATAGCCAATTTATATGAGACATGTTTTAATTTTTATTGGTCACTTTAGTTTAGCCCCTACTGTAATTTTATCCTGGCTCTGCCACTGAGCTCACCTCTAGGAAGCTCGGACCCACCTTCGTCGGGTCTGCAGCACAGGCCAACGCCATCTCCTGCGAAGCTAGAGCATTCTCTTCCTCAGCCACCACCACCATTGTCTCACCAACAAAGCTCCCCATGACCGGAAGGATTGGCCATAGCAGGGAGGAGCTCCATGGAGAGGAAATAGGGGTGACGTTGGCTAGCGATGACGTCGTGCTCAACATCCCGGCCATCACCGTTGCCCGCCGTCAATGTTTGTCGTCGATGTAGTTGGACATCGCCAACTACCATGCCCACCAACCTCCGCCGCTTGCCTCTCCTACTGACATGTCATTGGCCACGCTGGACTTTCCCGATGTCGTGCCATCAGCCATGTCTGTCTCTCCCGCCTCCGGTGACCGTGCCACCCCGTTGTTGTTGCCCTGGCCATCTCCAGCCATGTTGGCCTCCTGCGTCCGCTCGACCCCGGGCCAGGCCTGACATGGAGGCGCCATATCTGGCCGTGTGGACGCTACATCCGGTCATGGTAGCATAGGATCTGCGGCTTCCCTCACCATGACGCGCTACCACCTTGTCGGGGTGCGTTGTCACCTTGCTACGCGTTGCGCCTCCTCCTCCACGTTAGAGTCGATGTGTTGTCGGGATTAGGCCCCGCCACCACCATCCTGGTCGCATGGTTGCTCGGCGGCAAGACGGAGGGAGGGGGAAGGGCGGGCTGGCAGTGGTGGCTAGGGTTTTGCCCCTGAGCTGCCCACGCAGGGACGGGCACCCTCCTCCTTGTTAGTATTTACTTCGTGTCCCCAGGTCAAGCGTGCAATTATGTTTTAAAATCTCTAAGATTGATAAACTAAGGCCTTGTTTAGTTCCCAAAAACGTCACATCGAATCTTTGGACACATGCATAAAATATTAAATATAGATAAAATGAAAAACTAATTGCACAGTTTGCATGGAAATCGCGAGACGAATCTTTTGAGCCTAATTAGTCCAGGATTAGCCATAAGTGCTACAGTAACCCATATGTGCTTAACACGGATTAATTAGGCTTAATAAATTCATTTCGCGGTTTCCAGGTGAGTTATCAAATTAGATTTTTCATTAGTGTCCGAAAACCTCTTCCGACATCCAGTCAAACGTATGATGTGATACCCAAAAATTTTCTTTTCGCGAACTAAACAAGGCCTAAGTCTCATATGCAAATGATGGAAGCTACTGAATTGGGAAAGGATTGCGGCAAAACATTGTAAAAAGTAAATACATTAAAGAGACTATGCTCCACAATGTGAAACCTGGACGGTGTGAATGTGTGTGCACCAATATTGTTTCTTGGGACCTGTAGATGCACTTATAACTATCATAATGTTCTCATAGCAACTCTGGACTCCCCTGGCCTAGGAAGGAAGGTTTCTTCTCTTTCTTATTCTACAAACCTGTTTGTGTAACAAAATATGGTTTCCATTGGGAAACATGAGGCCCCTGATCATAGGATATTTTCCATTTCTTTTACACAGTGCAAAAACAATCTCATGGGTCACGAACATATTAAAGATCCACAGGAAGCCAATTGTCCTAGTGGCGACATAAGTCATATCCATGATGCCATGCTGTTTTGTTACACTACATTAACAAGATCTCACTATTAGAAAAATCATTTTTCCCGACGTGGAGGTCCTTTTTTTCGCAGGCGGACATGATCCTTGGAACCAAATGACCGTCTACGAAAATATAAATTGGGGTGAAGTTCGCTGACCACTTAAGTGGCGCATTTTCGCAGGCGGACTACTTAAGCGGCGCCTGCGAAAATCTATTTTCGCAGACGAACCTTATATGGTCCGCCTGCAAAAATCGTACCTATCAAAAAAAAATTAAGTACTTATCTTCTCCTCCACCCCTCCCCACCACTCATTTCCCTCTCAACTCTCTCTCGCTCCCTCAACACTTCTCCCACCGGGCCATCCCCCTCCGCTCTCCTCCCCTCCCTCCCTCCCCGCCGGAGGGGGAGCGACCGCGGCAGCACGGACGGCGTGGACGTGGTGATAGCGGCAGCATGGACGGCGACGTCGGCTTCTCCCGACGCGCTCTCCCCCAGATCCGGCCGGAGGGAGGCCGGGGGAGGGCTCCGATGGTGAGGCGCGTGGCCGGCGGGGTGTGGGGTGGTGACGACGACGCGCGGGGCGGCGGCGGCGGCTCCCGGCACGGCTCCCATCCCCTCCCCTCCCCTCCCAGTCCGGCCGGAGGGAGGCCAGGGGAGGGCGGCGATGGCGAGGCGCGTGGCCGGCGGGATGGCGGGCGGCGGTGGCTCCCGACACAGCTCCCCTCCCCTCCCCTCCCAGATCTGACCAGAGGGAGGCCGGGGGATGGCAGCGGCGGCGAGGCGCATGGCTGGCAGGGCGCGGGACGGAGGCGGCGGCTCCCGGCGCGGTTTCCCTCCCCTTCCCTCCTAGATCCGGCCGGAGGTAGGCCGGGGGAAGGTGGCGGCGGCGAGGCGTGTGGCCAGCCACGACGCGGGGCGGCGACGATGACGGCTCCCGGCGCGGCTCCCCTCCCCTCCCAGATCCGGCCATAGGAGGCCGGGGGACGGCGGCGGTGGCGAGGTGCGTGGCCGGCGGGGCACGTTTTATTTTTTGTTCGTCCATAGGATTTTCGCAGGCGGGCCATTGCACCGTCTGCGAAAGTCATTGGTATACAGGTGGTCCCCCCCTCCGCCTGGAAAAACTATTTTTGGCCGCATGCAAAAATGTTTTTTTAAGTAGTGTCTAACAAGTCTCTAAATATATAGTGGATAGCTAACCACCTGCACTGTGCAATAAACAGCGGTGCACTTACTAGCTGAAAAGACTATGGATGGCGCAATACGATATATGATATACGTTCAGTATTTTACAACTCGCCGTGCTCCTGAACCAGCGGCCCTGTATGAGATTATTAGCGAGCTAACTGAACCCGAAGCAGGCATGCAATTCGTCGAGCGCACCTGCCGCGCGTCACAGAGGCGACAGACACGGGACACCCGCAGAGCCACCGAACGGAGGGGGCGCAACCGCTGAAGCGGCAAGCAGGTGAACGAGGAGAAGCACGCGGACGCGGGTGGGAATTGGAAGGCAAGGATACGAACCAGTTGAAGGCCTTCATGGAAGGGACGAGGTTTACGAGGCCGCCGAAGCCACGGATGAGGTGGTCCAGTCGCTCCGGCGTCACCTCCTCCTTGAACCGCGCCAGCACAATGTGCTTCAGCACGCCACTCCTCCCTGCCGCCGGGGTCTCCGCTGCCATCGCCCTGTGGCTTCTTGCTGCAGTCTCGCTAGCTTCTCTGCGCGCTCTCCCTCTTCCCTCTGTTCTCGACTCGACTCGATCTTCTGCTTGCCATGGTTTAGAACTTAGAAGTAGAAGCAGTGGGTGGCTACAACCTAGAAAGTGGTTGGGCCGTTGGGGTTGGTGTGTAGTAGTATTGTGTATCCCCACAAAATGGGCACCTTGGTAAGAGCAAGTTTATGGTCTAGTCACTGATACAAAATTATCATATTATCTATAGCTAATATACGGCTCCATCATTTCGCTTATTCGTAGAACACTGTTACACAAACCCTTTGTAGCCCCGGTTTACAACTCCTTTAGTCCACTGCTGCACAAACCCTTTGTAGCCCTAGTTTACAACCCCTTTAGTCCCGGGTAGCAAATCGGAGCTACGAATCCGGGACTAAAGATATATATTTTTTTTTGTTATTTGCATGTGCCTCCTCCTTCCTCCTTTTTTTTTTTTGCTTTTTCTCTTCCTGGCGCGCTCCTCTACTTTTTTTCTTTTATTCGTTTTTTTCTCTCTCATCTGCCATTTTTCCTTCTATTTTATAGAAAAATTAAAAATACATCGATGAATTCAAGGCTACAACCCATGATCTCATGGTTCAGAACAAACTCTCCTAACCAATTCACCCATATGACGCTATTTGATTTGAGTTCATTATTTGCTTTCTCTATATAGCTGTTCAAATTTTGTAAACACAAACTCGTTATGTTAATGTAGGAATCATATCTTGGTACTATGATTCGGTAGTAACATTATCGCAGAAGTGCAGTAACACGATACGTTACTGCGAAATGTATAGGTATAGGTCGTTGCTGCGAAATTTATAGGTTGTTATTGCACTCTTTACAGTAACATCATGATAAAATTGCAGTAACAGAGAACATATAGTAGTAACGGTACTACTACAGTACCACCGCTTGTGCATAGCTAAATTTTTAAATCTCAATCTTGTGCAAAATACAAGTGCAAAAAAGTACTTCTCTTTGTCTATTCAAAGATACATAGCAGCAAGCTTAGTACAAGTAAACTTTTAGAATTCTAATCTTTAAACAATAATATCTCTCACATCGCATATTATTTTTAGAACCGTTTTCACCATAATGATTAGATCCGTCATGATTATTTTATAACGTTGTTACTGTGGAAAGTAGTCGTGTTACTGCACATTGACCGTCGTGTTACTACGCTGTTCCAGCAAGACAAGAACTAAAAAAAAAAGTAAATCTCAATCTTTAGAGAGCAATATCTCTCACGTTATATAGTATTTTTTTAATCCGTCCACACCATGATGTTCGTAAAAAAGTACTTAATAAAACTAGATACATCATGACCATTTTTCGATGTTGTTACTGTGAGAAAGTTATCCTGTTACTACACGATGACCGTTATATTACTGCGGAATTCCTGTGAGACGTGAACAACAAAGTGGTGGGTAGGGGAGGGAGTCAATGGGCGGGTTTGACCGGTGTTGATGTTCGTTAGTGATCAGTTTCGACCGTCAATATTACCAAAATAGAGGAGAACTAGTTATGCTTGCAATGTGTATCCATTTTAGAATAATAATATTCCACTAGTATTTGGTTCACTAACCTTTTGTAGAGAATAACCATAAAGTGGAGGAGAATCGACATCGAATCAGACGATAAATCAATCGGACGATGTCGAGAATCAGACTTATGCATGAATGGGCAAAGAACTCAGAATTGACACGATGAATTGGGCCAAAATTCACAAGTCTGCACAAAGGAGCAACAGAGGAGGCCACCTACCGAGTTTGGGCCAGGAGGGCATCGGATAGAGGGTATTAGCTAGTATGTCATATAACTAGGATGTATGTATACCATGTATATAGATTCTCTTTCTATTTTCTATCCACTTAGCTTATATACTTTCATATGAGAATGAGTATTCCCTTGCTTGTGTGTCACTCTACCCTTTGATTTATCTTAACCCCTGCTTGGACTATGATTATTATAAGTAACATATAAATTATTAGTCAGGTTCTCTCTATTATGATCTTTCCATGGGATTAAATAAATACGATACCCTTGGAATACTCTCGGGTGAAATGCTACAATGGTATATCCATGCGCTTGCGGATGAACTCTGTAACCATAATATACCAGGAGTATTTCTGCGCCATTGCTGGGAATTATATTTCTAGTAATGTCGTTAAGAAATACCAACAACCGACGAGAGGTGGCTTTGACCAGCCTTTGACTGAGGTGGGAGGGGGGATTTGGGCCCTAGGAAGGGTGGGGAAGGTGGAATTGGCCCATGGGAGGGGGAGGAGTGTAGAATAGATTTGCTATATATATATTTAGCAAGATTGAGATTTAAAAATTTAGCAATGCACAAGCAGTGGTACTGTAGTAGTACCGTTACTACCATATGTTCTCTGTTATTAGAATTTCACCATGATGTTACTGCATTACTGCACTTCTGCGATAATGTTACTACCGAAATATAGTAACAAGGTATGATTCCAACAGTAACATAACTGATTTTGTTTCACACAATTTGAGCAGTCATACAAAGCATACAAATAATGTTCTCTATTCATATAATATCATATGGTGAATTGGTTAGGAGAGCTTGCCTGTCACGCCCGGAATTTCTATCCAAAATTCCAAACGCTTACATGTGTGTAAACCCTCGTCCAGGAATCAGCCGAGGCACACAATAACAAATTGATAATAGAGTATAATTATTACTCTAATTAATAAGCGAATATAATGTCATTACAGAGGTAGATAGTTCCTCTCAAACAATAAAGATCTAAGCAGCGGAAAATAAGATAAACGGCGCAGACGACTCCATCCCACAAGCAGCTCGACCAGGGCTATGCCTAATCATCCACACCTTCGGCATCACTGTAGAACTCCTCCTCTGATGAATGATTGAAAGGTGAGTATATGACATACTCAGCAAGCCACGCAGCAAATATGCAAGTGCAAGGGATAACAAAGGATGGCATAACATAGTCTCATTTGCATAAATAGCATTTAATAAATATTTCAGAATTTAATAAAACAGTAAGGTATTAATTAAACAATATTAATCCAACGCTATACAACATACCCGTTGCATAGGCCCAACCATTCTGAACAACCATTCCCGGCTGCACAGTTCTATCTCCAAACCAGGAATATACCATTCCAAACTAGGAGCTAAACAAATTATTACCAATTACAGCATCATTTATTATGGTGAGAGGTGTGAAACTAATCACGAAAGACATTGTTAGACCCGCCCATAACCGCGGGCACGGCTATTCGAATAGTTTTACTCTGGCCAGAGGTGTACCACTGTACCCACAAGAAACAACCTCAACATCATGTCAACCATGCGTCGCGATACTTAACAAGTACCCGAATAGAGATTGTGACAATACCCTTTGTATAACACAATTCAAAGCAGTGCACCGTTCCTGGATCATAATCACCCCCTTGTAAACAAGGCATGGACTCCCCAGCGACCCCCGTGGGCTTATCTCCGCCACTTCACAGTCTGGTGCTCTACAATGAACCATACTATACAAAAAGTAAAGCCGTTGCCCACGCTGGCTTGTGGTTGGCACGGTTAATGTTTCACAACTGAAAATCGTGAACCGGTCCTTAATTGTCATGAGCACGACCATCAAAACCATGTGCTCACAACCCACCATTATCAAGTTTTAATTGGCAAATTAATTAATTAACTAATCACGATTAACCATCATGAGCTATCATTAAGTCATCATTAAATAATAGTGAATCATAAGTTATCCCAATTATATGAGCTAGTGTCTCTAAGCATGGCTAAGCATCCTATTCACTTTAGCTAAAACCATATAATGTTCTAGCTAATCCAATTATTAACCAAGTGACAAGGAATAGATAATCAACATCAAAGGGCTATAACAAAGGCAATTGGTTATTCCCACCCAATGACATTCAAAAATAAATGCAGTAGTTGAATAGAAACAATAGCTTTAAACGGGATCAACATGCTCAAAGGGTTGTTTGGGATCTGTGTGACTTGCCTTGCTGGCCTTGGAACTCTTCAAATTCTTCTCCTGCAAAATCGGACTTTCCGGGAACGTCGGAATCTAAGTATAAAAGAGCAAAATCACCAAAACAGCACATAAACAATCATGAATAGTACATGTGGATATTTTTAACATGTAGATCTCAATTTTAGAAAAATTTAGAGACTTGAACCAACTAAATCCGAGCTAAGATGAATTAGTTATGAATTTTTAAAGATTAAATCGGATTAAATCATTTATATAGATTTTAATTGAATTATGACGCAATATAGAATTATTTTTGAAAAGGAAAAAGGAATTATTGCGTCAGCAGGCTCGGGCTCACGGTGGACCGGGTGCACGGCGACAGTCTACGGAACGGACGGCCGAGATCAAATCGATCTACCGCCGGTCCATAGCTGACGTCGACGATGACGTCGGCGATGACGTCACCACCGGCGGCGGCTCGGCCACGCATGCTCGCCGGCGAACGACGGTGCGGCGGCGCAAACGGAGGGCATCTACACATAGCGGGCGACGCGGCGAACTCACCGATGACACAGACGACGGCGGACGGTCAACGGACGGCAACGGCGGCAAGGTTTAACCAGGTTTGTAGTAGCCACCAGGGTCCACCTGCTCCAACTACTGAGCCGACTGCTATCTTAGCCGATGCATTGCTCAACATCTGGTATAGATAGCCGAGGAGAATTTTGCCCAAGGGGAATTGTTTCTTTGTTTCTAGAGCTTCAGCCAGAAATTGCCAGTTGGTTGTGGGGCCGCAACTTGATCCACAGAAAAGAAATTTTTCTAGACACATTAATAGAAAGGCCACGTGTTCTCGCGGGGTGACCGAACCCTGGCCCATGTATGCTGCCACATAGCCTGACCAACCCCCTATGCTTTTGGTTTTGAAGTCATATTGGTTCTTTGTGTTCAAACCCATAGGGTTGGCCGATGAGGTGGCATCCAGACCGGTGATCATACTGATATCTATGAGGGTTGGAGTCATCGGCCCTTAATTGAACAGAAAGGCATTAGTAGTGTTTGACCAGAAGTAAG